GGACTGGCATGAGGATCTCAAAACACTGATTATGGGGACTCCGGCAGATAAGCCGCGTTCCGACTCCCGGTTGGGGACTTATTCGAACTGAATTTGCCATCTTTTACTTTATATTGATCTCAGCTTTCTATTTATTTCCTCTCGTTCTTCAGTCAAATGACAAAACCAAAACCGCTTCACGAACGGGCAAGGTTACTGCATGTATGAACTGAGAATGAAACTGACACAGACTAGATCTGCCCGATAGCAGCAAGCAGATAAGTAGCGCAGCACTGAAACAAACTTTTAATGACCCAGTTTCACTGTGAAATGCACAGACTCTCAGTGCTCTTCGGTTATCGGTTACCGATTGAACAGATATCCGGGGGGACGCAAAGCATCACATTTGACCCAGATATCCAGTTACTGGATTTACTTGCACATAACACAGAGTGAACACCGATGGAGAACCTTGTGAGATATCACTACAAACATGATTATATGAAGTGAATCCGTTTCAGATCCGGAGTGTAAAGCAAACGTTTTCCTAAACAACAGCTGGTGAACAATATCCATTGACGATCTATCCTTGGCTTGGGTTGAAACGCAGTGGGTTGTCATTCTGCCACACTTGCAAGTAGTCATCAGTAACTGTGTACTTTCATGGTGTTTGAGTCGTGTTTAGTTTTCTTTCTCGATTTGAAGAATGCGAACGTGTTCGTAATCAGATATATTATTATGTTATTCATAATTCCACTCACATACACGCTAAAAGATTGTGCTGTGAGATATTGGTTAACAGAAAATTGACCCCAAAACCGAATGGGATTCATTCTGTTGGTTCGCGCATTGTGGTTCAATCGGGACTGTTTCGCTCTCTCATGTACAGTAAACCCGAATGAGATTGTCAGACCGGGACATTCAAATCGCACCGTAGCATGACAGACCACCAGCATGCACATCACCCGACCTATTGGGCAACCCGATTGAGTCTACCGCCTCCCCCCCTCCCGGCCTCTACCAATCAGTCACAATCGCATTGATCCACCAATATGTTGCTCCCTATAACTGGTTGGTTAATCCCTAGGCATTGTTATCTTTTGAGCTGCTCAATAACTGACTCTGTCATCGTGCTCATGCCGTGTCTTCTGTCTCTAATTCGTGGGGTACGCTTATATGATCGATAAAATATAGACAGGAAAAGAGAACAGAGACAGGCCGCGAGTAATTTGTACACATCGTCACTTGTGCGGCGGTCTTGTTCTATCTCTAATTCCCACCGATTCGCTGCCCTTCATATGGTCCACCTTACACTGAGTCGAAAACTTCTTTAACAGCTGTATGCCGGCGAAAACAGCTGGTTGGCCTGAAAAATAATCTCGGATGGTACACAGTCGCCGGTTCCAATTCTTTGTCATATTCCTCGATAACCTACCTGTACGACAGTGCAGTATGATCGATCTCTTACTCGGAGTCAACAATGGCATCTTTCAATACATTTTGTTTTTTTGTCCATGCCTGTCTGTGGTTAGTCACTTTATTTTTTAATTTTGGCTTTTCTGTCTGAAAAGCTTATTTGGAGAGCAAATAAACCAGGGACGGAGTGTCACGAATGTGATCATGGACGTTCGTCAAAAATTGTTTGCCAAAGTAAGGCAACCAGCTGGACAATTTATCTTCACTTTACCGTAACCCCCTCACCAAAGTCAAGTGATCGCTGATGTTGGCCGTTTCATTTTACTGCTTGCTTTAACGAATATATAGACCAAGAGGCGTGCAATGTTCCTGTTAGGAGGGAGCTCACACAACCTCTCAAGTCACACGCATCCGCGTTAGGTCACAAGCACACTCGCGACGCACCAGGCAAACTAAGTATGGATGAGATGACTACAGTTCGAATCAGCCAGCAGTTGTCTGATCAATCAAGGATGCAATCTGATTGGTGTGCCATTGTGCTGTCCTTAATGTCTTATTTTCTTTAAATATTTGTACCTAAAATTAATCTTTTACTTACATTCTGACGGTTGTTTTGAGTTCCTTTCACTCTGCGCGTTGTTGTTGTTGGGGGATAAGCAAGAGGCGCTCGTGTCAAACTTACGTCCAGACCGAACATAACAGTTCCAGCCATTGCTTTCGGTAATATCTCCACTCGCAGCTAGCGCTCGGATTTCAAAATTAAATGGGTCCGTCGGAATCATGCAAGCAATGATACAACTATCGAACACAACAACCTCATCTTCAAACGCATCTACAAACCTTACACTAAAGCTTTTCCTTGATGTCAAAATAGACGAATATCACGTAAATATCAAATACTTTTACTCGCTTCCGATTCCGCGATGAATTGTGATTCAGTCCTGTTGCAATGCAGTCAATTTACTCGTATGCCAGTGACTGAATTTTATCGATTCACATCCTTCTGTGTTCGTTTTTATCGTCTCTCACGATTAGATATGAACTGGTATCGGCAACCGTTGCGAGACAGCCACATTCAATTTGATGCGGTGTCTATGTTCAAGCGGTGCATTGTACCGCGTGTGTGTGTGTTTGTGTGGGTTGCAGCCGCAGCGACGCACAGCTAAGCTCCCTCTTTCTCTCTTTTCTCTACAAATGCCTGTCCTTTTATGCTTGGAAAGAAAATAAATTTGCCAAATTTTTAATCATTCAATCTGTAAACAAATCAATGTGAAGGACCTCTTCCTGTATTCATCTGCTCTCTATCCCTACTACATGATCTACTTCGCCGTTTCTATTGGTCCCGCGGATTGCTCTTTTGTCATGTGTTAGGCTGTTAACTTTTCACAAAGGCGCAATTAGAGCTATCTTTATTCTTTCTGCATTTTCTACGCTCAAAATAATAAACGCGTCTATGGAGTCGCTTTGATCCTTCTTTGGGTCTGTCTACGAGACTGTTTGGTCTGATGAACAAATTTCTGGGACCCTATCTCAACTAACTGGAGGATGGGTGCCCCGAACTCTACACAAATACTGTATTTCATGATAACAGTGTTCTGTTACACGATTCAGTAATGTGGAGAGTTGATGGATTATCATCTGTCGGCAAAACTCGCTTCCGATCCGCGTGGTTCACAGTATTTATTGACCGGGACTTGTATTCATTTGAATGCCTTCGGGATAGACTTTCCTAATTCGCAATACGCACGGCTCTGTGAATGAATTGTTCTCAGCTTTTCTACTGGCGGAACACCTCTCGTTGATCTGAGCTACACTACGTCTCACTGACCCAGCGGGTAACTGAAATCAATAGATGGCACGACTAAAGGGCTTATGTGGCAATATACAGTGTTTCCGAATTTAACCACTTCATTTTACTTTTAATCAACTCATCTTGCAGTCACAGCTTGACTACAGTCGCATTCTGAAAGATGTAGTAATCACAACAGGTGTAAATGTAAGAAGGCATTCGGTGACGCTGTTTCTCCGTAATGCAATTAACTAGACACAGGTGACCGTGTTCAAAACATATAGGCCATGATTACACCTCTTTGGGGATGGTGTATTCGATTACCGTCACAGCTATCCGACTGCTTCCTTTAACAAACAGCCTTTGGATCGACGGCTTCCTCTTCCTGAAAGTGGTTTGTATAACATGGTATTGATACAGAAAGCAAATGAACGTTGCCGGATGTTGATCTTTATTTCAATCTCCTCAATTGCTAACGAAAAGTCATATCACTATATGAAGGAAATTCGGTTGATCATTCCCAGTGAACGAACGTAACGAAAATTCAAGTGAAAGACCATCTGTAAATGAATGAATCATGATGCACTTTTTGGTGAAGTAATCTCTTCTGGCAGAGCACAAACCATATAACTTGTAAAGGCTTCATATAAACCTCCAGTCAACAACTGCGGAGTGCTTCAAGGAGCTGTGCCGTTCCTATACCTAGTTCTCACATACATTTGTCGTATTCCTTGTATTTCTGCTGCACATGTCTTCGAGCGCGCTGGTGGTGTTTTGTTTTACAAACTTATTACTCCTTCCTCTAATATAATTTTCTACACACCGGTACTCGCCCTCAACTTCGCTATTCCCATTCAAACGAAGTTTAAATCCTAGCAAAGCTGTTGAATGTATATTTCTACAGTTTCTCGTGCTCTTCTTTACCCATAGGGCTCTTAGGGATGAACAACAATTCTTTATCTGGGGTGAACTCTTTCAAATATCTTAGGGCTACTAAAGATAACAATCTTCATTGGGCAACCCACATCCGCAATTTCGTTGATGAACTGTGTCGCCTATCAGTTAGGACTTGGCTCACAGGATCGGTCAGGCCGCACACGGATCCACGTCACACCACAAGCGCCCTCTTGACGCCCAACGCGAATCGATTCCGGATTGGATGACTAAGACGAATTCGACAGCTATCGTTCGATCGACCAATCGGACGCGATCTGATTGGCTCGTCACCACATCGTTCTCGTGCACCCACTTATATTTGCGTATCACCTCATGATCAATACAATACACTGACTGTTGTTCTCCAGTCGTGTTCTCTCTCTCCTGTGTCATTGTTGGGGGCTAGACAAGAGCTTCTCTTATCGATCGCACGTCTAACCGGAACACAACACTCATTTCCAATTCGTACACTCAAACGGTCTTTCGAACAGTTATTTATGCTTTTTTATATTCCAGTGTTTGTTTTCCGGTTACGTTCCCTGTCTTGTACAAGACTGGAAAGTCTTGCGTCGCGGTCTACCGAAATTCGTTCGTTTTTCTTCAGTTCTCGCAGACTAGTTGACTGTGAAACTTTCAGATTGTTACACAACTGCTTGTGTGTCAACTTTGCAACGAGAATTCTGGCAACAACCGACCGCCTATTGTACACCAAATCAGTACACTGTCGTTCCCGTAGATCCACGCTCACCGGTATTCCGATGTCTCATTCGTACGTTCATGGAAATTCGCCTGCGCCACACGCACACACATCCCCTATCTTTCTCACGCGTACTCACAATGAAACGATGAACAAGTATAAACCACGCCTTGACGGAGTTATTTTTCTGCTTTGTTTTATCCACTTTTCTCTTCTGTGAGATGTTTTCAATGTGTAACCATTTTAACAGAAATGTAGACCTCAGTGCTTTTAAAAGTAATACAGTAAGCAACGCATTACTGATGGCCGATTGATTGGCTTTACGATTCCAAATGGGTTTGAGAAAGAGGATCATTTGTGTCTTGTTTGCATGACCCCGAGTTTCTTCTGCTCTCCGACACATCGGTTGTTGTTGTTGTTGTTGATTGCGTCATCAATTTTGCTACTCAGTTTCGAATGTGTTCGGCCATTGGTTATGATAGACGATTTGTCCTATCAGTGTATTCGTTACCACAGCTGCCGATGAAGTGGCACATAGTGTGACACAGTAACACATTCACGTTTTGCCAAATCCATTCTGCGAGCAGAGACGGTAAGTCAAAATTGAGCAATTTGGAATGTCCAGTCCTAAAAGCTGACTTCAATTATTACCGCATTTTTTGAGTTAAACTATGATCATGTTTTATAGGAAGCTTTATTTGTATGCAGTCATTTTGCTTGCGACTTCGGCGCGGTTTACCTTTTCGGCATTGTCTACTGTGGATGTATACGAATCCTTCTGGACAACCATTGTCCACCAATTTTCTCGTTAGACATTCCTCTTCTTCTGGTGAACGAATGGTTCTCGCCTGATGATCTAGAGTTCTCACGAGTCCGCATTTTGGCAAACCATGGAGAAGAAGCTTTTAAATTTTCGGCCTTGATCACTCCAGCTTAATTTACATTAGAAATCGAGGAAATTTCCCCGAAATACAAGTATCCGGCAACATTTTTTCGGTATCGACGCAACAACAAACAAAAAGGATTCAATATTTCACACCATCGCTTCAATAAAAACGAATTAAAGGATTTTTATTTATAGTAGAGGCATTGTACACCAGATTTTTTTTACACCTTTTCCCAAATTATTTCACCGGTTACCGTTGAAGTTCTCATTCACAGAGAGTCAGAGAACGCACGAGAAATGGGATATTTTCTCATCTCGTTATTATTAATGCCACGTACTTTCACTTTCGAAATATCCTGTGTGATTCTGTTTACCTTATCATCCATTCCGCATCAGATAGCCCCGTACGCTAGCGTCATATGACCACACCGAAAATACGGATGTCACATATTTTTTACATGTCTTTCCCCTGTCCTACAGTCGCAAACGACTAACACAGAGACCGCGGCAGCCGCTGCGGCGGCGGCAATGGCTGTCGAAGAGGAGAACCAAGTTCGACGTCATTCGTTTCATTTTGACGGATCACGTTACTTCTCCTGGCTTCCCTCGTTGCACGTGGAGCTGTCTGATGTGAGTTTGTTTTGCTTGATTCTGTGCGTTCAAACTACCCCTCCCCCGAAGATGCTCTTGCTTCCCTTCGTAGACCAGGTAGAGTTCCACTCTCCTTTAATTTGATTCGATTCTCGGTACGTGCTTCGTGGTGCTACACCTTAGAGGATCTGCCAGAGATGCATGAGGCTTTATTCTCACCCCACGAAATACTCTCGTGGAGTGCAACTTCACACACGCCTGATTCCAGACTGTGTTCCAAACAGATCACAGTACAATAAAACGGAGAAATAAACCATAATTTGTTTGTGGGCGTAACGGCCAGGTTGCCCAGGTCAAGGCAGGCAAATTTTCTTGGGGAATTCACATTCCGAGCATTCAGCTAGCCAAAGCCTCACCCGTAGGGCCACTGGTCGGTGTGTATGTGTGTGTGTGTGTGAAAACCGCAATGCTTTGGGGGTCGGTATCCAGTAAATCGGATCATACGCCTTTTGGACATGGTTCAGCGTCCAAGGTACCCCATGCTCCCCGATACCCAAGTTATTCCATACCGAGAATGTAAGGATATTTTTGACGCGCTAGTGCATCGACCCGCCCGGGTACTGCAATCTTTCTTCATTTTCATGTCCTTCTATTGCATATACAAAGATAAAATTTTCAGGAAGGGGGAAGCGGCCAATCAAGGGGCTGCCATAGAACACAGAGAATGAGGTAAGTCGGGTGGTTGTGGGATTCGAACACACGTCCACTCGGGTGATAATATGGTGACGTTACCACCAGACTGACTTGCCACGCGAGTAGCCATCCAAGCATTTGTGCAGTAATTAACGAATTTAGGAAAATGGAAGCCTCAGGAGGTGACCGAACTTCCGGCAGAAGCGCAAATATCTTGACTGTTCATCCTCTCCGTCCACTCATCCGAATAATCGAACAAAGGAAAGTGTTTAACTATGATTGGAGTAGTCCGATCATTCTCCTTATTTCGAGCAAAGATAACATGCAGTAGCAATAGGAGGTCGATTTAACGATAAAGCGGTCAAAGGTTTCTTTACCATCCCGCTCGAACACTTACACTGGAGACGTTCCCACTGAAGGAGCTGTCGTGGCAGGGGGGATCTGAACCAAATCATTCTTCGAAGAATTTCAGGAAACCGCTGCATATCTTTACACCCAACTACCGCTATCTTGCGTTACGTATTTGACCCGAATGAACAAAGAATCCACCGGGACTGTAATGAAGGACCATGGCAAATCTCCCAATATCCTAGTGCCCAATTTCACGTGCTAGCCCTCAAGCGTACGGTGATGGTTGACCGAAGTCCTTGTCGAACTCTGGTGAGTATCCTTTCTCTCGTGTTGTTCAACTCCCTGGAAGTGCCCGGGCGGTGATAACGTCCCCAAATCTTCACCCCGGTGGACGTGTGTTCGAATCCCACCAACGCCACAGCCATCTGACTTTCATTGTAGTGTGTTGCATGATAGCCCTTTGATAGACCGCTTCCGCCTTCTTTGTAGGCTGAATAAAAGGCAGTTAAGATGAAAAATACAAAAGAAAGGTTTAGGGCATCACGTTTTTCACGGTAGCCTATACCGAAGAAAGTTTGTTTTCTTTTGGAACCGTAACCGATGCTCTTGACTCAGAATTCTGATTCGCCATCGATATGCTCTCAGGTGACCGTCTGTTTAATCTTTAGTTTATAGAAAATAGTGTCCTGCTAAGTGAAAATTGAGGTAAATTGCAAGCTTTTACGGATGCTTTCAACGGTGTTGTGTCTGATCGAATCTTGTCTCACAGATGCCAGAAAACTCCGTTCAATAATGGAAAAGGGTGTTATATTTAACGAGTTTTTAATATCCTAGATTTCAATAAAAAAAAATTGAAAATCCGAAAGCACCGATAGATCGAACGGACTGATTAGATTACAGTATTGGCCGTTGCTTTGGTTCCCACCAATCCAGTTTGATTCAGAAAACACAGCGATTGGTCCAAATTCCTTTTTTTACTTAACTGTGCGGGAATTTTCTGAGGAAATTGGGTTTCTCCAACAGGAACCAGTAGAGAAAGTGGGATACCTTTTTCTGTATTGGCAGCTTCAGCTAACCTGGCTAAAGTATCAGGAATGGAGTTTTAACTCGCGTGCAGGGGGTTCTGTTGTTGTTTATCAACCTG